ATTTTTCAGTAAAATTTTCAAGTTCCATTAGCCATAGAGCTGTGCAGTTTTCTGTTTTTAACTAAGTTTAATACGATAAATAAGCTGGTCTATTCAAATTTATTATGGTATCTACAGTTTTGTCAAAATTTGTTGATTAATCTATGAGAGTGGTGGAAATTTTTCACCATAATTATATTTTTCACATATTTTCGCCTTATACTTATAAGAAAGCTTAAATATCTGTTAATTTTCTAATATTATGGACAATTATCTATGGAAATCAGTTAAAAGAATAATAATTTAACGCAAAATTATTGGATAAATAATTTATCAAAATTTTTGCAACATGAAAACTTTAATGAAGGAAAATCTCTGGAAAAACTTGATGGAAAATTCTAAAACCCTCAGTAATTACTCGTTTTTGTTGATAGATTAATATTAGAAACGATTAAGTTTTCTACGAAACGTAAATAAGACAAAATTTTAGATTTTTCAAAGTGCGTCTAAACGAACTGCGCACTTTGTTGTTGTAATTTTTGAAAAAATTATTTTAATTACTTAAGCAAAGCATTTAGTCAGATACTTTTATTATATTTATAACCTAATTGGTCATAGCTATAAACACATAAAATAGTTTTTGTCTTAATAGTGTTTATTAAAGGAAAATTTGAAAAAAATTAAGTGCGTCTAAACGAACTGCGCGCACCTTATAAGTCGAATGTGAAGAAGAAGGAGACAAAAATAAAAAAAAAATTTAATCCCACATATCACAGACAAAAGCGAACCGTACAAGAGATATCGAGAAAAATCATTCATTTTAAAAATTTTCAACAACACAAAAAGAATGTTACATTCAGGATGTGTTTAGTCATATAATTCAATAGTTGAGTGTGACATTAAAATCACATATTTTAACTAGCTTGAATAGAAGTTAATAGGAAAGTTTAAAGGCGCATTTAAAAAATTATGGAAATCTAATTTTTCAGGCTCTATTGCTGTTAACAGTGTAGCAAAGAGCGTACTTGAATATACACATATGTTTTATTGGGTTTCTTGCCAAACCAGAGCATCATCCCTTATTTGCGAACGACCCCTAAATCCGAATGCCTAGAATCCCAGTTCTGCATGTTTTAAACTTGGATTTATTTTGTAACTGCGACAATTTTCTACATAATTAGCATTAAGATTCCAAATTTAGCTATGATGAGTCTACAGCCCTTTTTTGAGGAATAGTTTCAACATATTCAAATTATTCTACATCCAAATCGAGAAAACTAAAATTAATAAATCATTAGAACCCCACAATCAATACTTAAAGACAAAATTCTGACATTCCCATCACACCTCCTCAGTAAAAGTGCGTAAAGATAAAAGATTCAGAATATCATTTTAATGGACGGAACTCAGACAAAAAGGCAGATACATAAAAACCGTATTCTAATGGACACTCAGGCACATTTTTTTTTATTATCACTATTATGAATGCCCACAATAAATACATTTAAATGATGATCCATCCCAAAGAGCCCTCACAGCTATGTCTCTTTGCTTACATTTTTGAAGTCATGAATGAATTCTTTAAGTTATTCTCTTTCACAAAAATAAATAAATAAATAAGAAGAATGAAATTTATTTCATTCTGCGTCGTTGCTGTGCGTTTCGGTAGAGTAATGTGTATGTCTCATTCACTCTATAAATGGATGATGTACGAGACACAAAATAGGAACAATGGAATTTTAAAGTTTCCCCTTCATTCATTCATTCATTCATTCATATATTTTTTTTCTCTCCATTTCATTCATTAAATCATGCCATGTTATTTTGTATATATATAAAAAAAAATGTAAAGCAACAACAGAAACTAGTGAAGATGACCGCAAGTACGGAGATTGAAAACGCATTTTGCAAGACTTAAACCTTGCTGCTTCCTAATTGCTTCCCTTGCTGATCTAATCAGCTCCTCAGCAGTGACTTTGTCTAAAGAGATTCAAGCTCTCGAGAGGATCTTCATACAAATTTAAGTCTCCAAATGAAGCTTCGTTCGTAATCTTGTAGCAACATGACAAACAAGGATGCATAAAAAAAGACATACTGACAAATTCCTTACTTTAGCTACTCTCAATTTGACAGAAAATACGCTGAAAAAATTTACAATCTTTTTAGTCAACGAGTTTGTTGTATTCTTCTTAAGTACACCCGTCCATTCTTAAAAATTCATTCGAAAACGGATTCAGAAAAAAATAAAAATAAAAGAAGAGAGAATAAAAAAGTCTCCAAAATGTGATTTGAATAATTCCATTTTAAATAAAATAAAATAAAAAAAAATTAATAGAAGCTCCATAAATTATTTATAGTTCAACAATCGAAGCCATTAAGCAAAAAGATCGAATCTTTTGGTATGTTATTGGTGTGTCGGTGAGCGGATATTTGGAATGATATTCACAACAGTTTAAGGCATTTATGCCGCCCACTGAACGTCGTAGTCGTCGTCTCTTTCCCAACTTCATTCATGATGTCTCACAGTTGGAATGTATCTTTTGTTGGAGATATGTCGATTGATTTCTTGACGTGCCAATTTTATATCTTTCCGGTCGAACATTTTCATTAAATTCTGAATATTTTGATAGTCGTGCAAGCATTTTTTGGGGGATCTGTGTGGAAGTGATCTGCATTTTGTCCATTAAAAAGATTATTTGAACAGAAAGTTGAGAGAATTTAACAGTTGCACAAATTGTCTTGATCATTTATAGTTGGGATTTGAACCCATCACACATTACCAAATGCATGTTTTCAAGTTTCATTACTATTCACTAGACTATCAATTTATAGCTATGCTGCAGAATGTAGAATTTAAGCTACAGTTCTTCTAAAATATTCAAGGAATCCTGGATAATCAGCTAATGTACCGAATAAAATATATATCTCCGTTCCTCTGTCCAATTTTATGCAGTATTGTATTAGCATATTGTGACACATGTACACACATAAATATTATTATAAATTTAGAAAAGAATATCGCTTAGGAGTCGTTCAAAAATGACGTCAATCAAAATTTGTGGTTTTTAACGCACCTTTCCTCTTTCCTTTTCTGTCACAAAATTTTATGGAATTCAAGACGTAAAATTAGACACCATTTATCAACAACCCTCTTATAAAATTAATTTTTTTTCTACTGTATATGTTGATTGTTGGAGTAAGCGAGTAATTTATTCTAAAAATATCCTCCAGAAAGAGCTTGTGTGACTTGAAAACTTGTTTTTAACATTTTTTTTCTGTTGTTGAAAAAATATTTTTACGTTTTTTCATTCTTTTTTTGAAGAAATTTAATATTTATCAGAATAAAGGTCCATATGCATGCTATTTACAGCAACAACGGTGACTTTAAAGTGCGTAATTAAAGTTTAGCAAATTCACGATGATTTATGTATCATTTTTCATGTAATTTAACGATTAATCGATTCTCATTAACGTAGTCGTGATGAAAAAATTCCATTTGTGTCAAAAGTGGATAAAATGTGTGCATGTACTTCCTTATAATCGTCCATTATTTATTTTTACACAAAATGGTCAAGTTGCTTGACGGTTTTCATGAAATTGTTACAATTTTGGAAGTAAGCGCATTTTTGTTGAGGTTTTAAAAAGGTTCTCTGGATCAGTTTGATGTTCATAGGCTTAAATTGTGTGGTCTTTGCATTTCTTGCCCTTGATTGAATTTTTCTGAATTCAGGACTTTGCAAAGCCTGCAAAACCACTTAATCAACTTTTGGAAAATTCAAATTTTAACAATTTAAAACAGCAAAAACAAGAATTATGGCAGCAAGAATATTGAAAAAAAAAACTCCATTTAAACCCAAACACAAGACACATTCCTTAATTAGATTCTAAAGCTTTGCAGTCTCAACAATGTAATAATAAACGACCCATCAAAAACATCTTATGTCATATCTGTACACGAGTCAAACAAAAAATTAATAATATATTTTTTTTGCTATTGCTACACATTTTGCTACACAAAATGGTCAAGTTGCTTGACGGTTTTCATGAAATTGTTACAATTTTGGAAGTAAGCGCATTTTTGTTGAGGTTTTAAAAAGGTTCTCTGGATCAGTTTGATGTTCATAGGCTTAAATTGTGTGGTCTTTGCATTTCTTGCCCTTGATTGAATTTTTCTGAATTCAGGACTTTGCAAAGCCTGCAAAACCACTTAATCAACTTTTGGAAAATTCAAATTTTAACAATTTAAAACAGCAAAAACAAGAATTATGGCAGCAAGAATATTGAAAAAAAAAACTCCATTTAAACCCAAACACAAGACACATTCCTTAATTAGATTCTAAAGCTTTGCAGTCTCAACAATGTAATAATAAACGACCCATCAAAAACATCTTATGTCATATCTGTACACGAGTCAAACAAAAAATTAATAATATATTTTTTTTGCTATTCCAGCATATTCATTCATATGCATCGCTACTTCGAATAAGAGTTTCATTCAAGACACTCGAGAGATCACGTACGGACAAACAGAAGATGCAAGAATTAAGGCACATTTTTAATCTGTTGCTTGGGAATAATAAAAGAGGCATAAAAGACATCAATCTCATTAAAAACAGGCTTCAGCAACAAAGCAAAATTGTATCGCAAAAGTTACAACATTGTTGCATTTGAGTATTGCAGATATGTTGTATCTTTTACGCTGCCATTTGTTTTGAATTTTATTGCCATTTATCACACATTTTTTGCACTGCTATATTGCCATAACAGAGTAAAAAATTCCCTTTCAGTTCCATTTTTTTTTGTGTCTTTCCTTTTCAGACTTGAGCAACAACAAAAACAGAGCATCAGGAACATTGCAATGAAGCAAAAAAAATTAATGGCTGTAACACTATACTGAAACCAATTAATATCCAAGATGCATCGATAAATTAAGAGCATAAGGTATTGACTTTCCATTATTTTTTGTGCTTGAATTACGAGATGAAGATGCTTAATTATAAAAAATAATGAAAAATTCTAACCTTGCTAAGTAACATGTCATTCTCATCAAAATGTCGACCAAACATTTTCGGTGTCTCGCCGGGAACAGGTTCAATCTTGATGCATACTTCTAAGCCTTTTCGTGCAGTTGGGACTGTCTTGTGATTGTTTTCGATTGATGCGACGATTCCTAGGATTTCGGTCTGTAAGATAAGAGAGATTTAAGTTAATGTTGATATATATTAAAAGATTGGTGCTGTGATTCATTTGAGGAGAGCGAGAAGGGTTGTCAAACATACAAATTGCAATTGCTTTTGTCCCTGACTTAGACTTTATTTGTTTATTTAAAGAAAAAAGATCAACTATGCATCCTCGATCACCTTGTTTGGCAGAATTCAATTTCAATATTACTAGGAGTCATTCATTAATGATGTCCGAAATTAACAGTAATTTTTCAAAAAAGATTAATGAATTTCCTGGAATTTCTTTTGTTTTTTTTCAGCTAAACCCCCCTCCCTACCCGATTGACATCATAAGTGAACAGTCCCTTAAAGTTAAGACTCAAGAAAATTATGTTGTGCGTAGAGAAATCCAAAAAAGAAAAGACGCAAAAGCCACATAAAAAATTCTATTTCAAATGATATTTTTTTAAGAATCACACGAAATTTTTTAAAGAAAGATAAAGCAGAGAAGTAAAGGAAAAAAAGAAAAAAATTTTCTTATGAATGGTGGATAAATATAATTTTTTTTTTGAAGAAATAGAAAAGAAGAAAATTAATTAACATCCGGTTTTTTTGCCTTTTTATTTTCTTTGTATGATTTTTTAATAACCTTAATTTCATGATGTAGCAAAAAATGCATCGTTCTCAAAGGTAGATGCAGAGGCACGACTCCAACGTCGTCTTAGAATAAATTCATTCATTTTAAATTGACCCAAAAAGCTAGTAAGACTATGAGTAGATTTTTACAATTCCGCACAGCGAAACAGATGCTTTCAATCATATAGCAATTCGAATTTATAACATTAGCTTGTTTATATTCATTCATAAAAGAGAAAAAATTCATCATCGTCATTTTCAGACTTGAATTATTCATTATTTTCTAGAAATAAATTAAAATTGCAGAAGGGAGGGGAGTTAATTGATGTAATAAGGTGAATATTGCAGGATTTAAAGTTTTACGCTTTAATTCAATAAAATTCATCAAGTTTCAATCAAGCCATCAATATAAAATATAAATCAAGAACACCAACAAATAAAGTGCCCACAATATCTAGCCTATATCGTCATCTACAATTTCACTTGAAGTTATTTTTCTGCGGTAGTCATGAAACTGAGTGTATTTGATCACATCTGCATACTCGGGTTTATAATTCCAACTCCATAATAAATAAAATTACTTATAAAATGCACATTAAATATGAAATTATATAAATTATGAAACTGTAAACTCATATTTCGTTAATAATAAACAATAACACCACCAAGTGGATTCTGATTTCATTTTGTGCTGTCACCACAGAACAAAAAATAATGCTATAGAATCTTTCATTACGTTAGGCATTATATTAATGTGGAAATAAGATAAACTTGTTTGCAATATAAATAAAAGTAAGTGAAGGAATCGTTGTGGGTGGATGATTGAAGTGCATTTTTTCATCGCCAGCAGTAAATGAGATTATTATGATTATGAGTGTAATTTTATTTGCAGTTGTCTGGAATCTAACGATTATTGCAGATGTGAAGTCGAATTTAATATGATTTTGAGACATTTTTAAGGTTTTACGTATGGTGAATTACTTAAAGTAAATGAGATTTTTACGTTCGTAAAGTAAGACTACGTCTGAGAGCTTTTTCATTTGATTTGAATTTTTACTTAGAGCTTCAAAGGATTTTTGTGACCATTTTCAAAGATTCCATCTTAACATCCATCAAAAAGCATGATTTTTTTAAAAACCCTTCTTGACTTTTGTTTTGACCCCACACTCCTCCCACCTGTCACAATTTTTTTAGACCCCTCCCCCCCTTAATATTCGAAGACATAAGCTAACGACCCGATATGACATAAAAACCATGACTAAAACATCTCATTCCAAAATATTTAAATTCAAAATTAAAACAACCGTTAATTAATTCAAAAAAATGTATTTTAATGGCAATCACTTCCGATCGACTTTCAGAACCAGACAATTAAGCCCAAATAAATGTGCACATATTTTATGCAAAACTGCGCAAAAAAAGTGAATATAAATGAATATAAAAGTGCAAGAAAACCTCAATTTGGATGCTGCCCACTGCCAATATCAATGACATTTGCTTGTTAAGTTTCAGCACACGAGCATGAATTCAATAATATAATATGAAAAAAACTGAACATTTTTACATTATTGGAAGCGAAATCCCGGATCGCGACTAGTGAAATTGATACCTTTTTTTATATTTTTCTTCTTTTTCTTTTCATTCAGAAAACCCACAACTACAAGGTGAAAACGGTATCAAGCTTAACCCAAAAAAAACCGCACCTAAAGTAAATCAAATAAAAATATCAATTTATTTTTTGTCATCATAATTATAATACCATCGTCATCATACATCTATCCGTTTTAATTATGTCTAAATTTATACACTACAAAGAATGTAAATTAAAGAATTATGGCCCACAACTTGCTGTGTGCTATGTTTGATCGCAATAACAAATGTGGATATCTTTTTCAATGTCTATTTTCGCTATGCAAATAGTTTTTTATGTATTCACTTTGGGTGGGTTGATATTAATGACTTTTGCAGACATTTGTGTATAGAATTGGATGTTCTACATTTTTTCGCTAGAACTGAACACGATTTTTGTTTTCGTTTAGAATATTTTCAAATAATTTCGGAACGAAACTTTAAAGAATTGACACCAAAATGCATATTCAGTGTATCCACGGGTCAGTTTCTGGTTTATAACACAGCTTCATGCTTAGTACCACCAAAATCATTTATAGAAGAACGTTTAAGACCATTGAAGGATTTTTCATGCTGACAATTCTTGACGATTAAAGATGTTTAAAAAAGATCCAGCTGAATTTCAATAAAAGAATTAAATTTTTATGAGTCCATCCCCAACAATTCAGTGCAATAAAATGCGCTTCCTCAATCCAATCCAGAAATTCATTTCATTATTATTTAAATACGATTCAAAAGATACTTATACATGCGGAATGAAGGAGAATTAAAGCAAGAAAGAAAAAAAAAATCAAGAAGTCAGATTCATAAAAGAAGGAAGAGTGAGAAAAAGAATAAGAGATACAGGCACATACAGTGAGTGACGATGAAGAAGAAGAAGTAGAAAGAAAACGAGTATCAAGTTGTTATAACAGCAAACTAACTTTAAAAAGAAACTGGAAATTTTATGACCATTATAGAACGGAAGTTGGAGGATGGGCAGAATAATCGTATGCATATTTGAGCGTATTTCTAAAGAATATTAATTTGAGTTGCCTCCGGCATGCTTTTCTTTATACACATTCTCTTCTTTTACTTCACATCCACTTCATATGAACACTTTGAATGTCATGATGTTATTAAATTTAAAGACAAGAATGATTTTTCATTCACAACGCAAATGGACGTGAGCATTAATCGAAAAAATAATTTGTTAATTAAAGTTTCCAAAAAAAAAATCTTAATTTAATTAAAAGAAGTTGAAAAAAATTTAAAATTCGAAAAAGAAATCAAAAAAAGTAAGCAAAAAAAATTCTGGCAGCGGTGGGATTCGAACCCACGCCCCCGAAGAGACTGGTGCCTTAAACCAGCGCCTTAGACCACTCGGCCACGCTACCATTTAACTTCGATGAGCGATGTTTGGCAAAATGCTTATGTTGCTATCATATACTTTTCTCTTTGTTCCATTTTCAGCACCGTTTCAGTGTGTCTGTGTGAATCTTATCATTCACGTGAGTGTGCAATGGTAAAAGTAAGAAGATTAACTTCTATGTTCTTCGAGCTTGAATTTTTTTTCTATTTATAATTTTATAAATCACATCGGGAATTTTCGAATAGCAAAAAATCAAGGCGTGGAAACTATCCCAAATATCCCATTTATCCCATATATCCCAAAAATATTCAAAATAATCCCTGAGCATGTATACATTAGAATTGAGATATCCCATCATATCCTGAAATTACACTTCCACTATACTAAGGATACATTGGGATATCTTTATTATCGTGAATACATGCTCAGGAATGTTTTAAATATTTTTGGGATATGTGGGATAGTTTCCACGCTTTGCAAAAAATCTTACAATTTGTAAGGTTCTGATCAGATTATTTGAAGATCTTTCTGACTGACTCGTCAATTAGTCAAAATAAAATCACATTTAAATCTGATGATTTAGCGTAAGGGGTAGCGTGGCCGAGTGGTCTAAGGCGCTGGTTTAAGGCACCAGTCTCCTAGGAGGCGTGGGTTCGAATCCCACCGCTGCCAGAAATTTTTTTATACCTCAAAACTATTGATATATTTTTTTAAAACGCTGTATTTGTAATCAAAAAAAAACTTTTATTTCGCCTTCGCATTTAACTTAATTTAATTGCGGTTGTTTATGCATGTCACACACGTTAAAAAGAGATCTATAGTGAAAACTGTTTGGGTCTTAATGACATTTTATATAGTTTGAAGTGAACATTCGCGTCATTTATATTATAATATTAAAAAAACTCTTTTTTTCTCGAGTACCACATTTTCGATTAAAGTGCTTAAAAATGTTTGGAATGTTTCAAGTTTAAAGAACAATTGAGATAACTTTTCGAGGTGAGGAAATCCGCCATTTTTGTTTTACTTTTTTTCGTTTAAATTTTGAAAAATTTGTTATTTTAGGTAGAAAATTTAAAAATCCAGGTAATCAAATTTTTGCTTAGGAAACGCTTTAATAGATCAAACCTAATAAAATTTAAATGTCCAATTAGAACTTCAGGTAAACATTAAAATCGCTCACGTGTTCAAAACAAATTTTTATCAACACAAATGTGAATTTTTCTGTAATAATTTCCCATAGATAACAAATTTTCGTAATGCTCAAAACCAAAACATACACATTAGTAATCTCATTAACGGAATCCAAATGTCTAACGTGCCCACAATGGAATTCCTTTAAAGAAAATCTGCCTATATTTTAGAACTCGTACGATAAATACACATATTTTGTTATCAACTTGCGATA